GATCAGTTTTAGCTATAGACTCCTAAACTACTGAACGGATTTTCATGAAATTTTCACAGTCGATTTTTGAGTACATTTGTGGTAACATAGGGTACTTTATTTTTTGATAGGGGCAGGGGAAGCAGTAGCCCCCATACAAATTGCCCCTTCTATTTGATTAGAATTTGCCATGTTGAAAATAGGCAATGGTGGAAATGGCTTATCATTGCCATAATGTTAGTGAATATACAAACCACAGATATATATATTATCCAATGGTGAATATATTCTTTATTAAGTTCACAAACCATCCTTCTTTAGGAGTTGCCAATTCGCTATTTGTTTTTAGGAAAATTATGGTGAAAATGAAAACGGTGGAAATATCAGATAGAATTGTACTGAATAGGAAGTGTAGTAAATAACTGTACAGTACGTCTATTTTAGGCAATTCACAAAGTGTGATATTGTGTCCTATTGGTTGTCTTTGCTAAACATTTTTCATATAAAAAATTATTTGATAATACAATTCTATATGTGTTTAAGTGTGCTAAGTTAATCAGTACATTGTTTACAAAAAAGCAAGAATTTGCCAAGTACATACAATAAATTCATATCGGTAGTAAGAAAATATTTTAGTATTGGTAATATGACTATTAAAAAGAGTGTGTGATTTTATGTGTCTGAATCTACGTTTATACCTTTTACCACACTGTGGTACAGGGTATTATGTCTTTGTGCATATGTTTGTAACAGCCAAAAGGAAACGAGATAGACACATGGTTCCTTTTGAGAATATGCATAGAATCACTTTCTGAGTCGATTTATGACTGTCCGTCCGTCTGTAGATGTTAAATTGTACATAAAGTACAGGTCGCATTTATGATCCGATTTGAATGAAATTTGGCACAAGTCGCTTATTTGGCCCAAGGACGAACCCTTTTGAAATTGGTGAAAATCGGTTCAGATTTAGATATAGCTCCCATATATATTTTCGTCCGATATAGGCACCAAAGTTCCTATATATATTTTGATTTGCACGAAATTTGGCATAGCGTACTGAAATAAGTGTAGAATGACGTGTGCTAAGTTTCGTGAAAATCGGTTCAGATTTAGATATAGCTCCCATATATAGTTCCGCCCGATTTTAGGTAAATGGTATGCCAAAGTCCCTATATATCTTCCGATTTGCACGAAATTTGGCATAGCATACTGAATTGCCTCTAGAATGATGTGTGTGAAAGTTCTTGAAAATCGGTTCAGATTTGGATACAGGTCCCATATGTATTTTCGACCGATTTAATGTAAATGGTTCACCAAAGTCCCTATATATCTATCGATTTCCATGAAATTTGCCATAGCGTACTGAATTAAGTCTAGAATGATGTGTGTAAAATTTGTTGAAAATCGGTTCAGATAGAGCTCTCATATATATGTTCGCCCGATATGATGTAAATGGTATACCAAGGTCCCTATATATCTTTCGATTTGCATGAAATTTGGCATAGCATACTGGATTGAGTGTAGAATGATGTGTATAAAATTTCTTGAAAATTTTTTCAGATTTAGGTATAGCTCTCATATATTTGTTCGTCTGATTTTAAGTAGGACCCAAAATATGGTCATTAGGAACAAAACCTGCTGAAATTAGTACAACCTAACCTGTGACAAGTTTCGTTGAAATCGCTTCATATTTGGATATAGCTTCCATATCTGTTTTCATCCGATTTTAAGTAAATGGTGCACCAAACTCCTCATGTTTGTAATATTGACATGAAATTTTGTACAACGTACACAATTGAGCATTTTGATATTTGCTTTAAATCGATTTACATAATTTTGTCCCATTGTAACAAACGAATGACATGTTTATGGATTGATCTAAGTCGGTTCACATTTAAATAAAGGTCACATATTTTAGTTCATCCAATTTCATGTTAATGGCCCTTCTGTTAGGATGCATTCGTTTAATATACCCATAGTGGTGAAGGATATCATATAGTCGGCCCCGTCCGACTTTACTACTTTCCTTACTGGTTTTACATTGTCGCAGAAGTAATTAGTATAATTACAGTAAATAAATTTTAAACCTTTCAGCCCCGAATTTTTTCCGTGATTATTGAAAGATTTCATGTACACAGATTAATACACCTAAATTGGATATGAATAAAAATTAACTACGCTACATCCTTGCATTCGGGAGATACAGTACATTCTTTCAGGAAAAAGTCCAATATCAAGATAACCAAATAGTTTGGACTGTATACACAAATTGGTACTGTACACATGTCTTTTTTATATTGAAAACCACATAACTCAACCAACAATTTGAATTTTCTTAATATGTGTTGTCCATAATCAGATCTTGACATATGTATTTTAAATTAAATAGAAGCTCTAAAATATTTTGTTGTCTGCGGGCAACATTGGGCCGTAAAGGGTTAAATATGAGTTTTGTACCTATGAATAAATATATTACCTAAAAGCGAGTACTTATATGTAGACAAGTTTTATATCTTACAATTTACCTATATCAACCGAAATTACCTTAAACAATTTTATAATTATTTGCATTAATTTATGTTTAAGGACTTATTGCATATGTCCAGGTAAATATCTAATTACCACTTTTAACACGAACAATGTATTTTTTCCTAAAAATTATTACCTCTTTCTCATACATGTTTTAAACTAGAATTATGGGTAAACTACCTGTATACATATTTTCATCGAATAAAAATTTAATGGAAATGTACCTGTTTTTTAACCTTATTTTTTCCTTAAAATTATTACCTAATTCTTATACACTTTTTAACTCTAATTATGGATAAACTACCTGAGTACTTATTTTTATCAAATAAAATATTAATGGAAAAGGTACCTGTTTTTTAACTACGATACTATTTTTACCTATGTGGCATAAATATAATGTCGCCAAATGTTTGTAGTTTAGTTGAATAATAGATTCCAAAAGTGCTGAACGTGTATTTTTTTTAAATTCATCGTATTAATTACAATGCCACCAAAAAAGTCGTGCCTTTCCAAACAAACAAAAGAAGCAAGGATCATGAAATCGCAGAGAGAACGCGAGACATCAGAGGAGCGTGAAACTCGCCTAAGCAACAGAAGAATTCAGGCTTCTACTTCTAGGGCTGCCGAAACTTCTGATGAACGTAACTCCCGTTTGGAAAACCAACGAGAAAGAAATGCTACACTAAGATCGGCAGAGACATCGAATCAACGTGAAAACCGACTCAGAAACCAATGTGTTACTTCGTCAGTAGCCAGAAGTATAGAGTCTTCGGATCAACGGGAAACCAGACTTCGAAGCCAGTATGTTCGTTCATCAATAGCAAGGGCCATCGAGTCGACAGAACAACAAGAAAGCAGACTCGGAAGCCAGCGTATTCGTTCGTCACTAGCAAGGGCCATCGAGTCGACAGAACAACAAGAAAGCAGACTCGAAAGCCAGCGTATTCGTTCGTCACTAGCAAGGGCCAGCGAGTCGACACAACAACGAGAAAGTAGACTTGAAAGCCAACGTATTCTTATGTCAGCATCAAGGGCTACAGAGACGTCAGAGCAGCAACAAATCAGACTAACAAACCAAAATCTTCGTTCATCAGCGTTGAGGGCTACTGAAACTGCAGAAGAACAAGAAAGCAGACTGAGAAGAGAACGTGTTCGTTCAACAGTAGCAAGGGCTACAGAAACGCCGGAGCAACGAGAAAGTAGACTTCGAAGCCAACGTGTTCGTTCATCTGTAGCAAGAGCTAGAGAGACGTCAGAACAACGAGAGAGTCGCCTTAGAACGGAACGTTCTCGATCCTCATTTTCAAGAGAAAATGAAACAATTGATCAGAATGTTTATCGTCGTCAGCAAGATAGTTATCGTCATCGTCGGATAGTTCCTGTGTCTTTCGAGCGGATTGCATTCAACTACACAGCTGAAATGGACTATAGTAGCCATGAGTTAATAGCTATAGGTTCAATGAACAACGTTTGTCGTCACTGTAATGCATACAAATACAAACACGAAACACCAGGAATGTGTTGCTCAAATGGAAAAATAGTTTTACCCCAACTTCTTCCACCACCACAACCATTATTATCATTGATGACAGGTAAGAAAAACTATATTTACAACTTACTTAATTTAAATACTAATTATTTTTGTCTTATTTTCTATAGGGTCACATTTGGATTCTCAACATTTCTTAAGCAATATCAGAAAATACAATTCTGCTTTTCAGATGACCTCTTTTGGAGCTACCAATGTGATAAGAGAAAACTTTATGCCAACATTTCGTGTGCAAGGACAAATTTACCACCGCATGGGATCTCTGTTGCCAATTCCTAATGAAGATCCAAAGTTTTTGCAAATTTATTTTATGGGACAAGCAGATGAACAAGTACAACAACGTCAACGTTATAATCCTGAAACGAAGCAGCGTGTTATAGCTGATTTACAAGAAATGTTTCATGGCTGCAATCAACTAATAAGGACTTTTAAGCAAGCTAGAGATGATCCAAGACTGTGTTCAGATGAACATTTAATTGCTATTCATGCTGACAAAACACCGGCTGGACAACATCAAGGACGCTACAATGCACCTACGATTGATGATGTGGCAATATTGATAGTTGGTGAGCCGACCGCGCCACGTGATATTATTATTCGCCGACGGGATGAAAGAGTAAATAGAATAGCTGAGACCCACCGATCATATGACGCTCTTCAGTATCCCATTATTTTCCCATATGGTGAAGATGGATACCACTTCGGATTACGACAAATCAATACATCGACAAGTAAGTAAATTGATTGTTACCTTATATTGTACCCAAACTCAATTGTATTCAATTCTAATTTCATTTATTTGTTTTTTTTTTTAATTACAGATGAACCAACAAATAAAAAAGTGAGTTCGATGAATTTTTATGCATATCGCATAATGATTCGTAGAAACACTTTAAACCATATTGTCAACTGCCGGGAGCTATTTCATCAATATATTGTTGACATGTACGCTAAAATTGAGACGGAACGTCTTATGTACATTCGTCACAATCAATCCAAACTTCGAGTGGATAATTATATTCATTTACAAGATGCCATAAATAGTAATATTGATGTAAATCCAAATGAATTAGGACGTGCTATAATACTACCAGCAACATTCACCGGTAGTCCACGCCACATGCAGGAATATACGCAAGATGCTATGGCATATGTGCGATCTTATGGTAGACCTGATCTATTCATTACGTTTACATGCAATCCGAAGTGGGAGGAAATCACTAGCGAATTATCTTGCGGGCAAACATCAGCACATCGACACGATATAACAGCACGTGTCTTCAAGCAAAAATTAAAATCTTTAATGGACTTCATTGTAAAGATGCATATTTTTGGAGAAACACGATGTTGGATGTACTCAGTCGAATGGCAAAAGCGCGGTTTGCCGCACGCCCACATTTTAATATGGTTAGTTGAAAAAATTACACCTAATCTCATTGATAGTGTAATTTCAGCTGAGATACCTGATCCCAACAATGATCCTCAATTGCATGATATTGTAATAAAAAATATGGTTCATGGTCCGTGTGGAACCATTAATCCAAATTCTCCATGCATGGTGGATGGAAAGTGCACTAAGAAGTATCCACGGCAGTTGCTTAAAGAAACTATATCGGGTATTGATGGCTATCCGCTTTATCGGCGACGATCAGTGGAAGATGGTGGTAAAACAACTACAGTGAAGGCCCGCAACATCGACGTTGATATTGATAACCGCTGGATAGTACCGTATTGTCCGTTACTTTCAAAAACTTTTAAGGCACATATCAACGTAGAATATTGCAGTTCGGTAAAATCAATTAAATACGTTTGCAAATACGTCAACAAAGGATCCGACATGGCAGTATTTTCCTTCCGAAATCCAAATGATGAAGTAACGAATTATCAAATGGCTCGATATATCAGCAGCAATGAAGCAGTTTGGCGAATTTTAGGATTTCCAATACATGAACGTCATCCAACTGTTGTTCATCTTGCAGTACATCTTGAAAATGGACAACGTGTGTATTTTACTGAGGCAAATGCACAAGAAAGAGCCTTATCACCACCAAGTACAACATTAACATCATTTTTCGATTTATGTAGAAATGATTTGTTTGCCAAAACTTTGCTTTATGCTGAAGTCCCAACATACTTTACTTGGAACGCATCATCAAAAAAATTCCAACGCCGTAAACAAGGAAAAGCAGTTGAAGGATGGGAAAATCTTTATTCCACAGATGCTATGGGTAGGATATATACGGTTCATCCTCAGAATGCAGAATGCTTCTATTTAAGAATGCTTCTAATAAACGTTCGTGGACCAACATCATTTGAAAATTTGCGCACAGTGGATGGCCAAATATGTGCAACGTATCGTGAGGCGTGTCAAAAATTGCAATTGCTGGAAAACGATGATCATTGGGAAACGACACTTGCGGAAGCTTCGGCTACAAGGCATCCACGCCAATTAAGAGCATTATTTGCAATTATATTGGTTACTTGCTCACCATCTAATCCGAAACTACTTTGGGATAAATTCAAGGAGGATATGGCGGAAGATATATTGCATCAACATAGAGCAGATAATAATGATCCAGCACTAGAATTTTCGGATACAATTTTTAATGAATGCTTAATTTTACTAGAAGACAGATGTATGGAAATTAAAAATAAACTTCTCATTGAAGTTGGAATGGTCGCCCCAATTCGTCCTATTAGTGATCCATATGAAAGAGATTTAGTTCGAGAAACCGATTACCATCCACAAGAATTGGAAATTTACCTGGGAGAAAATTTGCCAAAGTTGCAACCTGAACAAAAAAATATCTACGATTATGTAATGGATGCTATAATAAACCAAACCGGTGGTTTACATTTCATAGATGCACCCGGTGGAACAGGAAAGACATTTCTAATTTCACTGATCTTAGCCAGCGTCCGGTCTCAAGGTAATATTGCGTTAGCTATTGCATCTTCAGGAATCGCCGCAACACTTTTGGATGGTGGCAGAACTGCACACTCTGCACTGAAATTACCATTAAAATGGCAATTTTCTGAGGATTACACATGCAACATCAGAAAGAATTCATCAATGGGTAAAGTTTTACAAACGTGCAAAATCATAGTATGGGATGAATGTACCATGGCACATAAAAAATCTTTAGAAGCCCTCAACCGCACTTTACAGGATTTGCGGAACAACACCAATTTATTTGGAGGTGCTCTTATTCTACTAGCTGGAGATTTTCGTCAAACTCTACCTGTCATTCCGGGTTCAACACCAGCGGATGAGCTGAATGCATGTTTAAAATCTTCTTTCCTTTGGAGTCATGTTAAAACGCTTAAATTAACTACAAATATGCGTGTAGCTCTTCAAAACGATACATCAGCTTTACAATTTTCTAATCAATTGCTAGATTTAGGAAATGGAAAAATGCCAGTCAATCCAGCAACAAATTGCATTACATTTCCGCCCGACTTTTGTAAAATGACACAATCTATTGAAGATCTTATTATTTCCATATTTCCAAATATTGACCGCAATTTCAAAAATACGCAATGGTTATGTGAACGTGCATTATTGGCTGCTAAAAATGTTGACGTTAACTATATAAACAACATTATCCTGAATAGAATCGGTGGAAGTATAAAAACATATAATTCCATCGATACCGTAATGGAGGAAAATGATGTCGTCAATTATCCAATTGAATTCCTAAATTCACTCGATCTTCCAGGTTTTCCACCACATGTGCTGCAATTGAAAATTGGTGTACCTATCGTTTTATTGCGAAACATTGATCCTCCAAAGCTATGCAATGGAACTCGACTTGCTGTGAAAAAATTACACAATAACATAATCGAAGCGACTATCATAACTGGAAAATATAAAGGCGAAAACGTAATGCTACCACGAATTCCAATGATAACATCCGAACTTCCATTTAACTTTAAACGTTTACAGTTTCCTGTTCGATTAGCCTTTGCAATGACAATTAATAAGTCGCAAGGTCAATCTCTTAAAGTCTGTGGATTAAATTTAGAAAATCCGTGTTTCTCACATGGTCAGCTTTATGTTGCATGCTCCCGAGTGGGAAATCCATCAAATCTTTTTATTTATGCTCCTGACGGAAAAACTAAAAACATCGTCTATCCAAAAGCATTAGAATAATAATTAAGATAATAATATTAGTATTAAGAAAATTATTAACAAATGTATTTAACGTATTTGATAGTGTGTTATAAGCTAGAAATTAACGAATTTAGAAAAATATACTCAATAAATCCAAACCTAAAAAAAATATATATATTTTTTTTTTTATATATTTCACATATTTTTTCTATTATACATATGTACATATATTGGCATTATAATTTTTAATTTTTGTCAGTTTGTGGTAAAAAAAAAAACAAAACAAAAATATTGAAAGAAATAGTGTGTATTTTCACTATAAATTTTTTGGTCATTCGGAAGACACGTTAAAAGTCCGATTGTGATCAATCATAAGATGTGCAAAATAGTTAGTTATCATATTAAGTGTCATTATTGGCTATTCAACTTTAACGTTGATAACTTTAGTAGGTGCAGCGAAGCGCCACGGGTCCAGCTAGAATATATATATATATATATATATCAGATTTGGATATAGCTCCCGTATATATTTTCTGCATTTGTACGAAATTTGGCATAGCGTACTGAATAAAGTATAGAATGATGTGTGCTCCCATATATATTTTCGTCCGATTAATTGTAAATGGTATACCAAAGTCCCTATACATCTTTCGATTTGGACGAAATTTGGCATAGCGTACTAAATTTGGTGTAGAATGATGTGTGTTAAGTTTCCTGAAAATCGGTTCAGATTTAGATATAGCTCCCATATATATTTTCGTCCGATTCTATTTAATGTTGTACCAAAGTCCCTATTTATGTTTGGATTTGCACGAAATTCGGCCTTCAGTACGGTAGGCCAAATTTCGTGTATCATTCTAGACTTTATTCAGTTAAGTTTCGTGAAAATCGGTTAAGATTTGTGTTAGATATAGCTTCCATATATATTTCCGTCCGAGTTTATGTAAATAGTGTCTAGAATGATGTGTGTTATGTTTCCTGAAAATCGGTTCAGATTTAGATAAAGATCCCATATATATCTTCCTATATATACTTCGAATTGCACGAAAATTGTGTATAGCGTACTAAATTAAGTCTAGAATGGTGTGTGCTAAGTTTCGTGGAAATCGGTTCAGAATTAGATAAAGCTCTCATATATATTTTCGTCCGATTTAATAGAAATGGTGCACCAAAGTTCTTATATATCTTTCGTTCAGTTTCATGTCAATGATCTTTCGGAAAGGCGACGTCTGTTAGGAGACTTTGTAGAATATACCCAAATTGGTGAAGGGTATCATATAGACGGCCCAGTCCGACTTTAGTACTTTCCTTACTGGTTTCATATCGATATCCTCCGAAGGTGGAAAGGTTACAACAGATTGCTAAATCATCTTACAGTTCCATACTTTGTAGGGTATAAACTGACAATTTCGAGTACAGTATATTGCCCTAATATGGTGGAATACTGCTATATTTATAAATTGGAGTGGAGCTAGTTGGTACCCAATAAAAAAGAAACATTTTTAGTGGAGAAATTTGGTACCCCATTAAAACCCAATGTATAAATTTCAGCGAATTTGGTTGAAAACGCGATCAAGAACCCCAAATAATATGGGAGCTATCCTTAAATATGGGCTATTCCTGAACATAAACCAATATAGCCCATCTTCGAACTTGACTTGTCTGCAGACAAAAGACAACTCTATGCTAAATTTTGGCGATCTATCTCAAATCGTTTATGGGCTATATAGAACTTATAGGTCAGAAATAATATTGTCGATGAGTTACAAACGGATAAACAAATGCACTGATGTAGCGAAAAAAGAATGAAAATGGGGGTAACCTTATATGGGAGCTATGCCTAAACGGGGACCGATATAGCTCATCTTCAAACAAAAGACAAATCTATGCGAAATTTCGGCACCCCGTCTAAATTCCTTCAGAAGATAGCGTGATTAAAACAGACGGACGGACTTGGCTAGATCGTCTTAGATTTTTACACTGATCAATAATATATATACTTTATAGGGTCGGAAATGAATATTTCAATGAGTTACAAACGGAATAAAAAGTGGGTTATATGAGGGCAAAAAGAGGACAATACTAATAATTTTTGGTAGAGATATTCTATCATATAGTTTTTTGTGGGCGAAATTTGGTACCCAATAAGAACGCTATGTACCAAATTTCAGCGAAATCGTTTGAAAAACACGCTCAATCACCCCAAAGTACAGAATAATGGGAGATAACCTTAAATGTTTAAACATGTGCCAATATAGCCCATCTTCGAATTTGACCTGCCTGTAGACAAAAGACAAGTCTATGCAAAACGTTGGCGATCTATCCCAGTTCGTTTAGAGGCTAGAGTGATTACAACAGACAGACGAAGATGGCTTAATAGTCATAGAATTTTACGCTGATCAAGAATATATATATATATATATATACTAAATAGGGTCGGAAATGATAATTTACCCTCCATACATAATTCCCACAGCCGATTTTTCTAAATTTCCAATTTGTGCATGGTGTAAGAAAATTGCAGATACTCAGGTTGGGGACATTAATATGAAGGAAATTAAGTGACAACATTTTAGGGTGGCTATATATAAAGGTGGACCTATATTATTAATATCATACTGTTGGTACCCAGTGAAAATCTCGAATTTTGCAAACAAAACTACATATTTAAGATGCACTGTACCTCGTTGTGGAGGATATATATGTTTGCCTTATCGACTTTGATCTGAAAATTTCTCAGAAGACATTATATGAACGTCATAACATATCTTATCTTCACAATAGGGTCTGCGACCATTGAGTGCGCTATTCCAAGTTATATGTGAATATTTTGTTCACAATTTTAGCAAATTCCGTACCACGTGTTATTCTTTTAAATTTTTTAAATAACAATAGTAATTGCTACTTACATTCAAAAATTCAGTGAGCGGAGCAGTATAGTCGGACAGGCCGACCATACGATACCCTACACAACTACCACGGAACTCAAATTTTCTGCGTTGAAATTCATCATGCCGATGAATATCTCTTACACACACGCATTGAGAGCGTTCTTTGTAATGTGTATCCAAAATATGGGGTGGCTATGTGATTAACTTTAAACGTCATTTAATATACTCCATTTTCTCACTTTCTATATTAAGTTATAAATAATTCTCGGTTTTATCAACTGCATTTGTATAACGATTAATTATGTATTTAACATCCCCACGTATTTATCAATAATATGCAAATTGATATGAGATATGTATATTCAATATGCAAAGGGGAAAACACAGTAAAACAATCCCCATGGACATCAAGCGTAACAAACAAATGGGTTAGTCAAGCTCAGGATTAATTCATTACGAAAATCCCTCAGTGTCCACGTGTTGTGTAAATAAAGATATGAACGACAGTCATATGTGTTAAAAAGGCTATCGGTGTGAACGTGACAATTATGCAGCAAATAAAAAATATTTCCCTCCTCTTAGATAACCAATAACAACACCTACTCTAAATGCAATGTTTTTATTTTTGCTAGATAAATATTTAAGAAATTTAATTTGGCTGACGTTTTTACATGTTGCCTCAATAGTAAATCTATGTCTGTACATATTTGTTTTTATATATTTTTTCGGCACTAAAATTATTTTTGAAATGGCATTCCAAATTAAATTTGTTTAATTTTAGCAAATAATATTAAATTCTGTCCCACTGACATACATCATCATAATCACCAAAAGCAAAAACATTAAAATTCCTAGAGAATAAAAACAAACACATGTATGTATGAAATTGAATATATTTCAATATTGAATAAACTGATTACCGATTTTCCGTACTACCGTAAACATTTGCATCTGCTTAAAATGTCAACAGCCAACCAAACGCTTATTCGTACATTGACATTCGATACAGTGACAAAAAACTAAAACAAGAACAACAAATAGTTCATGATGTATAACAACTAATTGATTGTGACAAATGGTCGCTAATTAAATATTCTATTTAAATTCAAAAAAATATTTTTTTTTCATCTGCTGCCAACACGTTGAATTATTTTATTTCAATTTAAAAAGTTTTCGTTTTTGTTTTAGCATGCAAATTTGCAGAAATATTGCAATGCCTCGTGTGTATTTTAAATAATGAGATATATAAACAAAATAAAAATCGAAGCTTACAAAAGCAAAAGACCAAATAGCATAAATATATAATTTTAAACACAAGATGACACATAATTGAAAACAAAATGTTCAGCGATAAATGTAGACCGAAATTTGTTATCATGAAGAGGTTTTTAGAAACCTTACACCACGCTTGTTTATATTTATGTGTATTTCTGGAATAAAAATGTTATTGGATGCCAAGACGAGGTTGTGCGGCAGATGTCCCATGTGTTACACAAAAGGTTGCTTGTTTGAGGCAATGATTTGTTTCTCTAGATAGATTTTCAATTTTTCCAAAGACTTAAAATTTGTTGTGGTACGTTGCTAAAGCGAAATTGTCGACACATGACAGCGTTTGCTTAGCAACTTTCGTTGGATTTGGATCGTCTTCGATTCAAATTTCGACGATTTTCAACCCACTGGCAAATGAAGGTGCATTATTTAGATATAGGTCCCACATATATATATTTTCGTCCGATTTTAGGTAAATGATGCACCAAACTTATAATGTTTTTTTCCGATTGACACGAAATTTTGCACAACGTACCATATATATTTCGAACGGGTGTCTAATTGAGATTATATTTTTATATTATGTCTTTGTAAAAGGAATCGAGATAG